TGTAAGTATGCCTCGAGATACGCACGAGCATGTCGCACGGTCGAACTTGTGCCTCGGAGTTCGATAAAACGGCGACGAAAACTCGGAGTTTTAGAAGCTTATTGTAAAGAGGAAGTTTCGCTCATCAAATCCGTTGTAATTTCAGTCGCGACAAACATTTCTCTACGAGAAAATTTGAAAAATGTTTTCAAGGAAGTATTTCCATTTCGCCATCTATTTTATCGTTTAATAATATTTTTGAAGAAAGAAAACTTAGGTCAATGCGAGAGGAGCATTCGAGCTTTAAAACGAGTACGGATGGATGATCGTGCGATTTTTGTACGCGGAGTTATGGCAGTTTGAATATACAGGGTGTCCTAAAATTATTGTTCAAGCGAGAAATCGGTTCCTGAGATGATTTGAAGTAACTTTTTCCTTAACGAAAATGCAATCCGAGATTTCGTTTGCACGTTATTAACGAAAAACGCTGACCAATGAGCGGCGAGGTTTTCTGACGCGAGGCGACTGAGCTAACGAGCGCACCGAGACTAGTTTCACTGATTGGCTCGGCCGCTTTGCGCCAGCCGCGCTCGCCTCTCATTGGTCAGCGTTTTTCGTTAATAACTCATAAACGAAGCCACGGATTGCATTTTCGCTAAGGAAAAAGTTACTTGAAATGACCTCAGGAACCTCTTATTTCTCGCTTGTACATTAATTTTGGGACACTTTATAATGATAATGCTATGTTTATTGCGTCAACGGGGTGGATCCTTTGTTACAGAGAATATAATAGCGTCATCGACGATAGTGAGAGCAATAGGGAGATTAGTGGTGGTATGTAATAGTAACAATAAAAAATAATAATGAGATAATAATAATAATTAATAGTAATCAATATTCCGAGGATAGCTGCGAACAATAACGATGGAAGAATGTATAAAATATCGATAATAAATAAATAAAATATCGTTTTCTAGATTTCGACCGAGAAATCAAATTCAAACGATTTCAAAAATCACAATTAAAACGAAACAATGCAGCTTGGTTGGCGATGTTAAATGACTCGAGGCGCGACCGGTATGGAACAGACGGTGGTTTTTTGCGGAGAAAGATTTTCGCACTGAAAAGAAACGAATTCAACGTTCGAGACTTAGAGCGCTGCCGGTGACAAATGGCGGACCGTTAAAAATGGTCCGAATTGGAGCACATCTCGCGCGAAATGGTAATATGCATGGGAATCGTCGGTTGTTTCAATAATTGCCGTCATTATCCCTGAAAGAAGCCTATTCTTCCCGGGGGCCTATTCAGAGTTCAACGACGTCCGTTCGCGAGATATATCGATAATGTGACTGCACGAATGCCAGGAATTGCCGCCGCGAATCCAGACGGCGTTAAAGTGTGTGAAATATGATCCACGGCGCTTGGTTGAATTATTTATGGCCGTGGATTGATAGATACTACCCTTCGAAATCATTTGCCCTATTCGAACTCCGTCTATCAGAATTATATCGGCTGAAGAAATGAATAATTCAATTTGATTTTAGGTGGTCAGAAAGCAACGCAGTCAACAACAAATAAATGTTTTGGAGGATGAATAAAAAAATAAACATTTAAACGAACGAGCAAACAAACATCTGCAAAGAGCAAACTTTAAACACGTTTTCCTCGAAGCTGCATTTTCAATATCTCGGTGGTCAGGATATCTCGACAAATATTTTATCGACTTGGACGATTATTAAACATTAAAAAACGACGATTAAACTTTTACAGCCCTTTTTTGCATATAGAAAACTTGTCCTTGAAAGAAGGATTTCTTTTTCTGTCGAGTATTTCGGTTTTTATAGCTAAAAATCTAGCTATATTTCATGAAAAAATCAGAACTTTAGCTTTAAAAGCCCGCCATCTTGACAAAAATCAATATTTCAAAAAATCCTTCGGTCAAAAATACAAATTTAGCCTATCAACCAAAGAAATATTTTATATATATTTTATATATATTTTATATATTTTTTATATATATTTTATATATATTTTACATATATTTTATATATAATATAACCGTGAACCGAATAAAGTTGACCATCGCGAAGTATGTTTCTTTGGAAAGCCCTCTGGAGATGTGCCATAACTTACACACTTCTGCACATGTTTGAATAAAAAAAAAATACAATCAGTAATAAAAATCCCGATCTTTTAAATAGAGGAACATTGGCTGTCTTAAAAAAGTCGAGAAAAAAATTCTCAAGAAACACGATCTTATTTAACTCCGAACTGAGCATGATTCTTTAAGGAAAGAATTGGAACGAAAACCACCGTATGCTGGTAAACTGGGACCGTTGTCGTATGAAATTGCTGCATGATAACGCCGGAGCACACGTTGCTTCTGATACGAAGGAAATCTTATTAAGACTTGGTTGGGACATTGCTCCTTTTGATTTTTATCTGTTTCGCTCGGTGCAGCACGTCTTGTCTAATACGCACTTCGAATCGGTGGATTAAACACAAAAATAACTGGACGACTTCGTCATGTCCTTAGAGACGAGATTTTTTCGAAATGGAATTCTCCACCGTCAGCCTAAAAGATGGCTGAATGTTAGCGTTGAAATAACGGCGATCGATGCGAATAAGAAATCTGTTCTACTTTTTCTTTCAAATAAGAAAGGAAATAAAAATATCGCCAAAAAGTTTGAATTACTTATTCGCGCGCCTAATAGTTCGCCTCTCTAACGCGAGGCCCACACGTTCATTCCATAAAACGATCGTTGAACGATTAAAATAGAAAATCGCACTAAACAGAGAATTTATCGCGTTCGATTGAATCGCAAATATGTTGCGTCGAGGGTCTCGTTAAATGATAATTAAAATACGCTCGTTCGCGCGGTAATCGTCGAATACCGGAAATAACGAAGTCATTTGGTACCGTCGAAATTCGTGGTACAATCGAGTTTGTAAATGGAGGACGATTATAATTGGTTGGTGTCGAATTGAATGCAACGACTGTGACGTTTGACAAACGCGTTGGTTATAATAAGAAAACCGAAATTCGGAGAGATTGGGACTGTTGATGACGTTATTCGCGTAACAATGTTCGCCATAATGGTAATGGCACTCGAATAAAATCCATGGCTGGCCCCGGGACAGGGCATATTTCCCGTTTCCGCAATGCCTGTAATTAATTAACAGTCGGGAACGGTACAGTCGCGCGATCTCTTCATCGGAGACATCGAACAAACAAGCAATTTGTAAGCCCGGGCGCGAATCCATCCAAGTGTTCGGAAGTTGGCCCGAAGAGAATTAAAAGTTTCGACGGGCCTGGATCAAGCGCGCGGGCAACTTTTCCCGGGCAAAGTTCATTAGAGTCGGCTACCGTTTGTCAAATCTGGCGTGAATTAATTTTTCTAATATGCCTCGGGAACGCGAACACCATTTAATCAGGCCCCGATCGAACGACAAGCCCGGCCGAAGTTTTTTAATATATTCCCAGATCGCCGCGGAACGCGTCTTAAATCGGACACGGCACCCTAAATTCTGAACTTGGAAAATTTCCGACGGTGATTTACGCCGAGACTGTGCCACCGTTGCGATGCCAACGCTTCGGTTGGATGTTTTACCCTATTCCGGGATATCTGAAAATGATCTTGCGCCTTCGGTGTACTTTGTAGAAAAATAATAATTAATATAATAATAATTATAATATATAATATATAATAATAATATATAATATAATAATAAATATAATAATAATATATAATATAATAATAAATATAGTAATAATATATAATATAATAATAAATATAATAATAATATATAATATAATAATAAATATAATAATAAATATAATAATAATATAATAATAATTCACATTTGTGAATTAGAAGAGCATTTGTCTATGATTTAAGTATCAGCGTTTTAAAGATACTTAATTTCTCAATGTTTCTAATGTTTTTTTGTAATGATCG